ATAATACCACAGCTTAGGAGGTTTTAGCACAAAGGAGTCTGTGAACCTTTGTTTCAGAGGGCATCCGCAAAACTGACCAGCAAGATTAGGACAGAGGAGTCTGTGAGAGAGCCCTTTTCTGCTGTTCTTGTGAGCTCTGTCTCATGCACCAATGCCGATGTGACTGGAGAGCAGAGGCACAGGAGCTAAAAGGCCATATGTTTTCAGTTTCAGTGAGCATCTTGTACCAAAGCTTCTCACAGGTGCTGAAGACTACATTTATACACAAAAACCAAATTTCCTCCCCTTTACTGCCTAATTTCTTCTAACCTTAGTTTTACCTCTGACTCCCATTTTCCTTTTCTTTCTTCTCAACTATCTTTTCACTTCTCCCTTTATCTTACATTTTTTTCTTACCCATATACTCCCAGGCAGATATGGAGAGGCATGCTGTTTTGGGGGTTTTCTTTTTTGTTACAGGGGAATAAGAGGACTTCAGAGTTAGGACACCACATTGCTGAGTTCTTACAGCAGCCTGACTCTTATTCACTGCCTGAAAAAAAAAAATCCACCTCATGGTCCCAATTTTAATCTGAAGAGCTGAGGGGATAAACGCCAATTTCAAAGACAGTTGGTTGCAATAGTTAATGTTTGTGCAACACTTCACATGTCTAACCATTGTACCCAATCTTCACCACCAGAAAGATGCAGAACTGCTGCCACTGCCTCCCAGACTGTCTGTGAGTGTGATGATTAATGAGCTCACAGCCTTATTTTGCTGTTGAAGTTAATGTTGCTTCCTGAGGGCAACACGCCTGATGAGAGAATTTGCAGCAGTCCATACGCTATATTGATTCAAAATGCCACTGTATGTTTTAATTAGCTTTTAACCATTAAAAAGTGGGGTTGGAAATTAAAATGGCACATATGCTTATGCAGCACATGCCTGTACCTAAAAGGTGAGCATTAGGTCAAGTTGTCGAGCCATGGGCTGGACCACAACTGGCAGTTAAACCCCATTTTTGTAGCAATTAATACATTTCCATGGCTTTTCTTTTTGTTAGCTTTATGCCAAATATCCACTTACATCTATTTTCAAGCCTTGAGGAATGCATTTTTCACCCACCCACGCTATCTTTTGAGAGTTATAACACGCTAGGAAAGTTTAAATTTGCAAAGCTGAGGTTTAAGAGCTAACGTGAGGGAGTGGGATTTGCTCAGGCTGGTGAGAAAGTGATGTGCTGGGATAAAAGGCTGCACTGCAACCCCTCCTTTGCACCACCAAAGAGTTTTTATTAAGTCATTGATAAGGTGCTCATAATTTCCTCATTTCTATTGTACTTATCCTTCATCCTCTTGATGGCAAAGGGCTGGTTGAAGTAATATCCTGAACAGTAGAAGCCATTTTTGACAACTTATGGAAGACAAGTGGAGTATTCTTTTCCTTAAAAGAGAATGAAAAGACAATTATGGGGCAACTACAAAACAATAATTAAACATATTAAAACCACCTAGAAGACAAAAAGGAGATGAGCACCAGTTCACACTGATTAATCATGAATGAAGCATGTTAAATAAAACCAGTTCCTCTCTGAAACTGGTTAAGAGGTCTTGAAAGAGGGAAGGTAATCAACACTGTGTCTTGCCTTCAGCCAGGCTGTTTGCCTTGCCCTGCTTGGTGCACTTGTGACCAAACCAGGGATCATGCTCAAGACAAAACTCATCAGTGGTGGCAAGAGTGGCTGAAAAGCCATACACAATGGATCCCTACCAAAAATTCACTGCCAAACTGAAGGGCTATATTGAGTCCAGTTCTCTAGATAGCTGACCTAGATTTGGTACAACTCAATTTTTTCATTAATGATATAGATAAACAGCTTAAAAATATAACTTTTAAATTTGCAGATCAGAATTTCAGAATGAGCTGTAAGCACACTGGAGGAAAGAAGTGTTCAAAATGGTCCAGTAAAATGGACCAAATGAGCATGGCAATTAGGATGAAACCAAAATGTTCTGCTTTGGAAGGAATAAATAATTGTGTCAATTCTGGATCCATAGCTAGAGCATGGCTATGAAGGATGTGGACCAACTAGAAGCTGAAAAATACTAAATACAACATGAAAAACATGATCTACAAAGAACATGTAGGGCTGTTTCACCTGAAGAAGACAAGGCTGGACAAGGCACAATGGCTGGCCTCCAGCACATGAGCTATTCATGAGCTAAAGAAATAAACTCTTCTGTATGATCACTCTGGCTTGGATGGAAGCAAGAAGCTTCTTAGAACAATACTTGAAAGAAGATACCAGGAAAAATATCATCTCTGGCAAGGCTAATGGAGAAGTGGGAACAACTGCCTGGGTGGATGGTGGAGTCTCCTTCACTGGAGATTTCCAAAAACAGGATGGACCAACACTAGCCAGAAACAGCCCAGATACAGATGATCCTGACAGCAATCCAGGCAGAGAAGAACTACATGACCTCTTGAAACTAATTCAACACTATTATTTTTTTTTTAAGATTTCATTTCTATATTACCCTTGGGAGGTACAGAACTACTTTGTGCCTCAACTCCACATCAGTGAAACAGGAGCATTAGTGGCCAAATTAAACAAATCAACGAGAATCATTTGCATTGAGTTCGGCTGTCTGATTAATCATTTGGAGTTTGCAGCTTATACAATGTATCATCTGTGCCTGCTTTATCATCAAAAGCAGATATTTTCCAATCATAGTGAGGAGAAAATCTGACATTATTGTCATGACTGAATCGCTCTTAAATGCATTTAAAGCTTTACAGACCTATTGGCCGTAATGTATATTTAAAATTCTTGAAACCAGCAAAAGATCACATTGAGGAAGGAGAGAAAGATGGTAGAACAGTGACACTGTGCAAGTTAGTTTAAATAAAGAATCTTATCAAATCTACTGACTACTTGTTCACATCTGTCCAAATATAACTTATGCCATATGTCCTACTATATAAGTCAGCTTGGAGGCAGGACACTTCCCTAAGCAGCAATTCACTTCCTGAGTCTGCTCTATCTTCAGGAGAATAAAGAAGAGGGGGAAATGATACATTACAGAAAAATCTGAGAAACAAACAAAATAACCTTCTGGGAAGTGAAAATCCTTTTTCTACCCTAACAGTATGGTCAGATGAATCTTTTGTCTTCTTGTGTACTAGGAAAGGGATTATACCTGATATTACCATAAGCTGCCTTTGAGGAAATCAGACACCTCAGTTCTTCTTCACCTTTTCACTTTGTCAAAGTGGTAAATATTGTCTTGCCAGTCACCTCAGTGATCATCCTCCCATCATGAAAACACAATTTATGGTTGCCACCTCTTGGGTCAGACTCCCAAGGTGCGGCCAGTCAATTCCTCCACCTTGGGTCTTCAAGGGCCTTGGTGCTGCACCAAGAGCAGGCTGGGGACGGGAGACCCAGCCCTGCCCAGCCATGGGCCTTCCTGGTAAAATGCTTCCCAATGGGAGCTTTCAGCTGGTAGTGTCAGATAAAAATATTATCATCGAAATCCCGTTTCAGATACCAGAAGCCTCCTTATGGCTCTAAGAGTTTAATTTTCATTTAAAAGTCAATAAATAGAGGCATAAGGGTTTAAGATGAATTATGCAAGCCCTTTAGCCATAGCCATTACATTCTGCCACAAAAATGAGCTGCTGTTCTCACTTTGTTTTATGGGCTCACTGTAGCCTGTTGTTATTGTAGCTGCCAAATAAAAACCAGCAAACCATGCAAATGAAAATATAATCTTTTATGCTTTCATAGTCTTAGGATAAACTGGTATATGCAGTTTTAGAGAAGGGGTTTCTTTTGAAGTCTGTAGTGTTATGCCCCTGTCCTGTGAGTCTTTACAAGTGGAGCGGCTTTTTGATCAGCTGCTCTCCCATCTCCGACTGCAGGACTGTTCTAAGCTTGAAGGCAAGGAAAAACATAATAGCTTCCTGTAGATATGAAGAAAGGGTGGATTACAGGTAATTTCATAAAACTGCGAAGTCCCCTTGCTTTAAAAAGAAAAGATTTGCCACTTCTAATTTCTCTCAAGCCTCCTCATTCCCTGACAGGAACACATACCCCACAACTTGCTCCAAGTCATGTGTTTCCTGAGGGTCTGTCACCCAGCAAATGTGCCAAGAGAGAAAGCCATGCAAAGTAATCGTGACAATGAACAGCAGCTGAAGCCAAGTGGTAAAAGCACAAGACTCCACACAACAATACCTGGGACAAAATGTGTGCCAGTACACAGAGAGAGAGAGAGAGAGAGAGGCAGAGAGAGAAAAGATGGAACCAGGTAAGGGACAGGGTCTTATGCCATGAGAAAAACGGGACTGTAAACATGAGTTAATGTGCTTTCAAGTTAATTACAGCAGAGCATTATATTAATGGCAGAATATTGAGAATAAGAGCACATGGACTAATATGCAACATTTAGTCCATAACTTTTCCACCCAGAATTCATATTCAAAGCTTGTCTTTTTCACCTTTGCAATGGCTTGTCTCTTTCTTTTGTCTGTCTCGGTTTATTTTCATAGTCACATTCACTGCTGATAACATTTCATATTTTGTGCTTCCTAGTGGGAGCTATGCTGGATGCTGACACCCACTCTTGTGCAGAGATTTTTGCATATTTTTTTTTCCTCTTCCACCCGTTTTACACAAGATGGTAACATATGGCCTTGGGTGATTAAATGATTTAGTGAATGAACTGAGCAGAAAGAGCAGGCTGATTGGAAGAAGACAGCTTCTGTTTAGGCATAAATGTCTTTGTAATCTGTAATGATAGGAAAGAAATTACAGAAAAAGCATAAGAAAATTTAACAGAGTTTTGGCTAAACATTGTATTTTTCAGGTCTGCTTTAAATATAGTGAAACAATAATATAACGGCTATTACTTGCTTTGTTTCTACAGCATGTCCTTGTAGAAGGGGCACCCCACAAATGCACACAGAAGCATACACCTGCACTCAGCATATAAAGAGACAAAAATTAAACCAATGGTTTTGTGAAACTAAGGTGCCATTTTATTTATTAACTTCTGAACAAGGCAGACCTACAGATTGGTATGGGCTACCACACTAGCTCAAATGGCTTCACATCTTCTAACTTGCTCAGAATTACTCCAACTACAATAACCAGTTGCACCCACACAACCTCAGCAGGAACCACAGGAAATTTTTTAAAACGAAGATATCTGGATGCCTTCTGAGCAGTCCCACCCAGTACACCTCTGCCACTGCAGGGGCTCAGACCACAAATAAACTATCACTCCCATCCTCTTCCTTTCATGACTTGTGTCTCTCTTCTGTTTTAACTTTCTGTTTTTAGCTGTTTTGTGTTTGTTATGTATCTTTGGGATAATACCTATGTGTTCTTGTGAGCATGCAACAGCTCCTGGTGTACTTCTGTTCTGAATTAAGCATCTGTTCGTGGTTGACTGGGATTGTGGTAGACTGGACTCCAGCAGCCAGCTGTTCCTAGGCTGGAAATTTGAAGCCTTTGTATCCAAAAGAAGAGGTTTTTAGACAGAAAATATTTCAGTTCTGCTTCCAGTGATGGTGTGCATATCATTAACAGTCATTATTAATGTAATAATGTAATATCATTAACAAACAAATCCAACTGAATTCCAGTTCATGTCTCCACCCACAAGACCAATTCCATATTTTATGATAAAATTTTTATGCAGAGCCTTGAAATTGTTTTGGGACATGACAAAGTCCTCACCCTCTTTAATAATTCCCATGTGAAGCAGAAGCTGTAGCTTAAAATTAGACAAACCTATGCTCCAGAAAAGGACATCTGGACATACAGAAAGTTTATCAGTGGTGTCTGTCCTCATCTTGTAGCGGGAATATTAGAAGCCACCTTGGTGATAAACCTCAGTGCAGGACACTCCTTCTCCTATATGTGAGAGCATTTGAGATGAGAAAGGAGGTTTTGGCTCACATGGTAAGAAAAGCTCTTAGATGAGTACATCCTGATGCTTATCCAGCATAGTTAGGGCAGATAGGAATTAGTGATCCAGTCAGCCTCTGGCACAATAACATGCACATTTAGCCAATCCATGCAAAGGCAGTATTATATTATCTTGGCACTTCCTCAGCACTGGTTCCCCAGAGAAAAAACTCTTCCACAGTGACATCAGCTGAACCCCAAGTGTGATGGCAGCTTCAAAAACTACTTAATTTTTAATTTTTCTGAAAACCAGACTGCCATCAATTAAGTTATACTACAACAGAAATAATTTAAAAACAAACAAAAAACAAAAACAAACCAACAAACCAACAAAATACAACCCAAAACCACCAAAAACACAAGACTGCCATGATCATAAATCCTAACTTTCACTTCTCTGGGATACATAATACTGTTGATATTTTTTTCTGCTTTACCTCCAGTCCTATTCACCAAAACTTTCTGGGAGAGTTTTAATTTACCATGAGGGTACCCACTTCCATTGTCCCATCAATGAAAACAGTAGCAATGCATATGGGTGACAGTATACAGTTTGAAACAACCCTAGGGCCTAAACCTGGGATATCTGGTGGCAGACGAGCAGTTTCCGTTGTCTATTTCTTTTTCAGCATGGAAAACAAAATTAATGGAATGTACAGTAATTAGCACAGCAGAACTCTACAAATTCAAAAACATGTCAAAAATGGGGTTACAGTTCTACATACATCTACCTTATACAGTAAGTGTAAGAAAATATTAAGGACCAGATTTTCATCTTTTTTCACAGTATAACTGTGTTCTGTTAGCACCTAAACCTATTGCTCTGGACCCAAATGTCCCACAGGCCCTTTGACCCTTGTCAGCTCGGACTCTTCTGCTGGACTTTCCTCAAGAAGAGTTTCCAAGAGCACATAGCTCCATTCAAGCTCCAGAAACAAATGCAACAAAGACTTTTAAGGCTAGCAGGCAAAGCTGGCACCTTGCAAAGCAGCTCACTACGTATTAATGAATCTTGAGCAGCAACAAACAATATTGGGAGATTCACTACACAAACTGTGTTAGAAAAGATGCCAGGAAACCTCGATGTTCTCAGATCAGAGGCAAAAGCCGGGAGGCTCTACCCGAGCTGCAGGTGCTCCTGTAGCTCCACGCTGCCACGTCAGCATTGGTTATGAGCCAAAGGCCTTCAGGCCTCCTTGTTGCCTGGAGGATATAAATGAAAGTCAGCAAGTGAAAAGGTGCAAGAAGTGCAAAACTGCATAATGTCTTTCCAAACTGTGTTTGCGAAGTAAATGAGACTCATTTCTTTCCATGCTATATTGAGATAATTTTTATTTTCCTTGGCTTATGAATGTTCTTAGTTGAATTTTCTTGTGTGTGTTCTTTACAGTATCTTGGGATGCCTGAGGTGATTTATAAATATGTGTAGAGACCAGGTGTATTGCCAGATGTTTACGTCCCTTTACAACAAGGCTTCATTCAATGGAATGCCTGTCTTATATTATTTCTTTCTAATAGAGGATCAACTGGACTATTGGGTATTTGTGAGTCTTCCCTCTGAAGGTTTTTTTCATTAATTCACTATCATCTTGTTTCTACATTTATCATAATGCTAAGTCTTTAAACCTCTTTAAGTACTTTTTTAAAAAATTAGAGTTCCTTTCACATTAAAAAAAAAATCCCAGACAAATGTCAACAGTTCCAGGTCTAAATCAATAAAGTCTTACTCACTGCCAAAAAAGATTTTTAATCTTAAAGTGTTACCCACACTCACTTTTTCTGTTTCTCACCATCTCCTATTTAGAAATAGTAAAAAAAGTGTGTTTTTATAACAGCTGTATAAATGGTAATTGTAGATCACTCTCTTATATATAACTGTAGTAAGAGATAACCTGTAGCCCCAGGGTGAACCAGTATACACAAAACAGACATAGCGATTTGCTGGAGGTCATACAGCCAAATGATAGAATGGAAAACACAACCTGATTTAATTAGGAGTCAGCATTGTAAATACTAGAAGAGGGACAGTGCATTTTTTTCTCAATACATTTTAAAACATAAGAAGGCAAGTTATTGTATATGAGGAGGCAATAATAAATTCACAGAATGTAAAAACAGTAATTAAATTTTATTTAACATTTATTTTTAAATTTCAGGTCCTGTAAAAGTCTCTAAGGATCTGAGAAAGTCAATTTGCTAAATGTCGTCTTTAGCAAATAAATTATTTTTTCACGTTAAGCAGACTCATTTTTCAAAGAGTTTTGTATTATGTAAATGCCTAAATTTCCTCCCTCAATAAAGCTGTACTTGTATCAGTAAATATTCAGAAAGTGAGGTCTTACTAACCAACCCGGAGCAGCTGGTGAGATGGCTTACTTGAGGAAGCAAGAGGCAGCACGAAGTGTAGAGATCTAGGACGACACAGTTAATGTAATCATTTCAGGCACAGTCACTGACAGCTCAAATATATGTAACTGCATAAGTTATCGGTATATTTAACATTGAAAAAAAAATGAAACAAACAAAACTTTAGAATTATTTTCCTAAGTATTTCCTGTTAAAGTACTTTCAACTATTATTTTTGCAAATGAAAGAAAAAGCAGTTTAGTAGCTTTAGGGAAGATGTTCAAGAAACAACAGGCAGCAGGGAATACAGTACTGATTTTTCTCAGATGAAGTGATTATTAGCACTGAGGAAACAATCAGGAAACACGAAGAGTCAGCATCTTAGCTGCTGTATCCTGAAGACAAGGACAAAATCCTATCAAGTTCCAGCTATAATGAAATATGAAACAGGGTGCCAATGGAAAAAATGCCCAAACGCTTAATGATGGAATTATATCAGTATCTAAGAGGGACTGAAAGTTAATAGTTAAAAATATCCTCACCTAGTGGGAGCAATTAGTTCACTGAAGGACGGAGTGAAAAGTGTTTTCTTTTGTACATATATATATTTTATATTTTCATATATATGTGTAATGCTTGAAGCATATGGGCACCTAGATGCTAGCTGCTGTGTTATATACATAGCAGCGCTGTCAAAGCAATTAGGCACAGCTAGAATTCAGTCTGTTTCTTTACAACAGTTTCATATCACTGAAGAGACAAAGTACATGGTTTGCAGCTTTTTTATATCTACTCAATCAATTTTGGTTATTAATACATAACTGAGTTCTTTCTCTTTAAACTGCCAAGTCTCTGTTGGTGATTCTTGTTTTCTTTAAAATATTCCCCTGTATTACCTCTTTACCTGAAACCGAAGGGGAGATGGGGAAATACCCAAACCTCCTTGGTATTGGAGGTAACCTCTTTGCTAAAGAAGACCTTAGCCCTTCAAACCTGGCCTCCACTGCCCTATCCTAACCCGCCATTAAGCCGTGGTATTCTCCAAAGCCGCTGACCTCAATCTGCCTGTGAACCATGATGAGGTCTGGAGAGCTCGCCTCCCCTCAGGCCCCAGCCTTCCCAGCGCTGCCCGGGAGCGCACAGACCTGGGCACACACACATCCCAAACAATGCCAACCTGCTGGCACGGCTCCTCATAATCCGCCCCGCCACGGCGGGAAGCACAAAAATTACCCACAGTAATTGAAGATTTGAAGCGGAAGCTCAGGGCAGAGCGCTTCCTTGCGAAGAGAGAAGCCGAAGCACTTCATTCTTGTCATGAATTCACAGCTGGCTGGTGCTAATCAAGGAGAGAGGCTAGGATCCAAGCCATAGAACTACAAACATAAATGTTTATTCTTGCATCTGAAGTGCCCCAGCCAAACTGGGCACACCCCTGAGATTTCACTTTAGGAGTTTTACACAATGGTATGATATGAATCACCTAATTACCCACTGGTGCTTATTTCTAATTACCCAGTCATAAACGTGGCAGGGTAAAGCTACTCGATTTTTGGACATCTTGCAGCAGCATCCATTACCATCCTTGTGATTTATGCTAATCCAGATGTTCTCGCACTCAACTTCTGCAAAGTTACCAAGCACCAGCAACTTGAGTTTCTCTTAGATACAGATTCTTTGGTGAATTTTGGCAAAAAGTTTCCTGATCTTAGTCGACTGTGTGTTCTCAGTAGGGTAAGATGATGCCTCTTGGGTCTTGAGATAACACTGCAATACGCACTATACATGCATACATACCCAGCCCACATATAACCATCCCCAACACACCAGTAATGCTCTTGCCCCTAACAAGCGTGTGGTCTCAGCACTTTGCCGTCCGGCCCCCCGGCAGCCCAGCAGCGCCCAGGCGAGGCTGCAGGAGCACTCCAAGAAGCAGGAGCACTCCAGGAAGCAGGAGCACTCCAAGGAGCGGGAACACATCGCAGCACAGCTCC